GCGGGCCCTTGGACAAAGTACTTCACCTCTAGTTCAATGTCACTCTCCGAGTTGTTGAGGATATATACATATATATATGCTATATTAAATATTTAATATAAAATGTATATCAGCGATTATACATATAAACATGTATCTGTGTACCAGTGATTGTACATATCTGTAAAGGTTAGTACATTGTGTCAACTCAGCTGGATCACCTTCGCGGTCTTACACCCAGGGTTGTAGGGACCCTGCCCTGGACATGGAGGGGGGGGGAGGCCCCCCCGCTGCCCTGGAGTGACTCAGCACATAAGGATATGTAAAGCGATTGAAGAAGGATTCAGCCTTCCCCTTCCTCAGCGGCACTTCAGTCTTCAGCATGGACGGCATCTCCTGGCTTCCAGCGCAGACTCTCCAGCCTTGGGTTTAGATCCTTCAGCTTTTCATCACAGATTCTTCAGCCTTCCATCGCAGACCCATCGGCCTCCTGATACGGACTTGCACAGAACACTGCAAAGAGCTTCAGATGTTGGACTGAATCCCTCCGTCTCTGGTGTGCAGACGCCCTCTGCACGCTTCCTCATCTGACTCTGCGGCTGACCACTGTCGTAAGCCAACCCTGTAATTTCTTATGCATTTGTACATCTTGTGTTATCTCTGTTCCTTGTATTGTATCTGTTCCTCTGGTAAACCCTTGACTAATGCAATATCCATATACCAGTGATTTTATATATAAATATATATGTCAGTGATTATATTAATAGTGGCTATATAATAAATAGAGCGATGTATATTATATATAATTATATATATATATATTAGATATGTTTGGTATAGAATCAGCTGCTGATTGGTATCGTGTTATATAGATATAGTGCTTGACATAGAATCAAGCACACAAGTGCTCAATAATCACTTGACGAAATCTCTGAAACCACTTTCTATACAAACATGACCTACCTCTCTCTGAGAGTATACACAAGTGCTAATTTGCCAACATAACTTCAGCCTTGAGTATTAGAATCTCAGTTATTTTATGAATAAAATGAAATACAGATTGAGCCTCCCTTATCTGAAAGGATTAGAACTAGAACTGATGCAGTGTTTGTATTTTTTTCAGCTTTAGGACTATTTCTGTTTGTCTAATGAGATGTCTTGTGGCTGAGATCTAAGTCTAAAGGTGAAATTCATTTATTTTTATGTATACTTTCTGCACATAGCCTCAGAATAATTATACAATTATAATTACATTTGTTTATATTTTGTGGTACTGGTGATTGAACCTGGGCTTTTGTACTGAGTTACATCTCCAGACCAATTTTATGAAATGTTTTGAGAGAGGTCTTGCCCAGGCTGGGCCCCAGTGTGATATTCTTGCCTCAGCCTCTCAGGCATGTGCCACCAGGTCCTGTTTGTATAACATTTGCCGTAACTCTGTGCATGAAGCGAAGTTGTGCTGGTGTCATAACAGTGCTCCAAATATCTTGGACTTTGGATTTTTGGCGTAAGTGTGCCCATCCTGAATTCTATTGCTGTTTTAATTAAATTAGCTGACTACTAGCAAGTCGGGTATGTTTGAGTGGTTTGATTTTTTAAAATCTTTTGAAATTTCCCTAAAAATTCTTTGGGCTGCTTTGCAAAGGCTTTTTGTCACTGTTGATTTGTGGACAAGACTGCACTACTAACCTGTTATGGAGCAGGTTAGGAACAGCTACGACCCAGGGTGAAAGGAAGACAGGAAATGTCTCTGTGTTCTTCCTGACCTGACCAATAGCATGGCGCAGTGTGACCCTGGGTGGCTTTTCTCTAGCCAGCAGCTGGCTTCTCTGAGCCCTCTGGTGTGCAGGTGTTCAATCAAGTCCAGAGTGGCCGCAGGGTGCAAGGTGGGCCACCTGGAGGGGGTCATTGTGTGTGGGGTGAATCCTTCCCTGCCTGATTCAGCCAGCTAATCTGCAAAGTGCTGCGGTGGTGCCGGGCTCCCAGCGGGTGCCCTGTGAGTGTTGCTCACAGTTGTAGAGGGTGGGACAAATGTGCAGCCATTGCAACAGACGCAGCTGAGACCTGGCTGGCGATTGGCAGACCCTCCCAGGCTCTGTCTCCTGATTCACTGCTCAGAGCAGTAGTGTGGCTGGGTCTGCTGCCCTGCACTGGCCCACACCATACTTTTTGTCCTCTCGCTCGCTCAATTAGTTCCCACCTCGTGCCTTCCCACCCCCATCACACTTGGGAGCAGAACAGCCAGAGCGGGAGTGACAGGGGAGGCCTGCCCCAGCCCACACTGCCCTCTGGGACTGGAAAGTGGGTTGCACAGCGGGCGCCACCTGCTGCTTGTGGCTGGACTCCCTGGGGACGTGCTGGACCATTCATTCCATCACCCATGAGGCTAGGGGCTGTGAGTGGCCCTTCAGGTCTTTTCTGTGCTTCTGGAATCGGAGATCAAGGGTCAGAACAGTCACACTTATGTGTAGCTATCCAGGATATAAAAAAGGCAGACTTTTTCTAGTGTATTTGTACCTTTGCCCAGGAAAGAAATTGAGCTGTAATTGAATTATCGCTCCCTTTGCCTTCATTGGGTTACCTGTGGACAGGTTTCTCCCTAATCCACATATGCTAAAAGTGGCCAGGAGCAAGCAGAAATCCTGAGCAGAGGACCAGCAGGCCAGGACAGGTGTGCACCAGGTGTGAGAGCCTGGTTGAGTCACCTCCGGCTGCGTTCAGCTGTCCCTAAGAGAAGGACCAGTTGTTTCACAGGACAGAATAAGGATGCAAAGAGCGGATTTGGCCTGAGGAAAAGGGCCTTCTCACTGGGGCCTGTGTGGTCTGAAGCCAGCCCCTTTCCACTGCAGCGGGACGTGTTTCCCTGGGACCACGGGGCTCCTGGACCTTCCCTTTGCGTCCACGTGGTGGTAGGTAGCAGTGGCTGTGCATCTCTTGCCGCCAAGCATAACTGCGCTCCATGATGCGCAGCGCTGAGCCCGCCCCTCTCCCTGCAGCCCACACACACCAGGCATCCCCCGATGCAGGCATGACCACTGTCATCTCCTCTGGGTCAGAGCCTGAGCCTGGAGCCCTCCTGATCCGCCACAGCCGGCCAGCGCTGGTCATGTGGCACCTTTGCCCGGCCATGCCACCCTGCTCCCAGGTTGGGGCCAAGCACTCTCAGCAAAACCTGGGCTAGAGGCACACCGGCTTACTTCCATTCTTAGAACCACAAGTCAGTGCTTCAGGGTCATGCACTGCTGCGAGAAAGGTCTGGGCAAACCACGGACTTCCATGAGGAGGGAGACTGCCGCCTCTGGGGACTGAGAGGAGCCTCTGGGACCTTGGTCACTTACAACCTGCCTCTCAGCGTCGGGGAGACCCACACCCCACACTTCGTTTATTTCTTCATTCTGAAAATAAGATGGGTGGGGAGACGTTGGCTTGGTTCTTGTTGTCTGCAGATCTTACATCTTTAAGAGCCTGCTTGGATTTAAGCACACCTCGGGTACTGCGGCACAGGAACAGCAAATCCCACCCGACTATTTTGTTCTCTTGGTTCATCATCTCTTTTATATGCTCCCCCATGTGAAAAATAATAACCAAGCTACACTTGCAGCATGCCACTTCCTAGGCCGTGGGAGAGTATATTCTTCAGTTGTGTCACTTCCGTTTCTGCTGACTTTCTGTGTGTCCCTGTGCATTTCTATTTGACATTTTACTGTGGAAAGTTTGAAACACGCAGCAGTATTATATAACGAAGCTTCCTGGACTCACAGCTGTGTGCTGGCATCTCGTCCACGTGGCTTCCTCTGCCTCTCTCTCGGCACACATGCTGTTGGCAGAGGCGAGGGCTGGAGTATTTTTAAGCAAATATCAGGCGTCCTGTCATTTCTTCGTGTATCTAAGGGAATTATCTCCCATTTAAAAAGGTAGCGACAGTGCCAATTTTATACCCTCCCAAATCAATAGTGGTGCAGGAGTTCTTTAAATTTTAGTGAACTTAGAATGGAAGGGGTTTGGGAGTAAAGGAGCTGTGGTCTGGATTTTCCCTTCCCCCCCAAAAAAATGATAGAATTCATGAGGATATTGGCTCTGAAGCTGGTACTTGGTCCAGAGAGAGAGAGAGAGAGAGAGAGAAACAGAGACAGAGAGACAGAGACAGAGAGAGACAGAGACAGAGAGACAGAGACAGAGTCAGAAACAGAGAGAGACAGAGACAGAACATAAATGCTTTCTTTTCCCCACTATTGGATTCCACACAGTCTTCCCTTCTCTCTTTAACCCCATTTCCCAAATGGATATAAAGTGAACCCCTGAGTTTTGATGGTTCGGTTTCCAGTGATGCAAAAGTGACACTTAGGCTAGTGACAAGTCTCTTGGGATGCGGGCAGTGGCAGCCACCCACAGCTCCCAGTCAGCCCTGCGACCAGGCCAGTAAACAGCCAGTATGCTTCAGGGTGCCATATCGCTACAGTTTATACTTGAGCTTTTACTCAGTAAGGGGATTCTGCGTGGCAGCGTAGATCTGTGCCTCATGAAATGCACGTGGCAGTAGGAAGCGGCCCCTTAAAGGGGAAGAGAGAAATACAGGAAAGGACGGGGAGAGAGGGAGGGACACAAAAACTAAAGAATTCCCACAAATCTCAGACTGACTTCATGACTGAGCTTGGGATGTCCCAGATGTGCTCGGAAAGTGTCAGAATGTCATTGCACAGAGCCAGCAGAATGGGCCAGCCTGGGATGAGAGACCATTCACTGGGGCTTGAGCTCAGGGCCTTGTCCACTGCTTGGGCTGCCCCGGCCTGGTGGGCGTTCGGGCTGCACTTCTGTGGTTGTGGTCTAAGCTCCATGCCACACAGCCTGGACTCGGGCCTGCATCTCAGGAATTTGAGACCCCCAAAATTGAGACATCCTTATATTAATTATATCCAGATAAATCCCAGTTTTCTGTTATCATGAAATTTTGTTTTTTTCTTTGAATTCCTCTTCTTAATTGACAGTGGTTTAACCTAACTTGTGTTTCATTCATACAGATGAAATTATGCAGCAGGAAGTGAGGCCGTTGGTGGCAGCGGACATAATAGAGCAGCTTCACAGACAGTTTGCCATTCTTTCAGGTAAGGAGCAAACTCCTTGAATTCCCACATTTTTCTGGGGCTTCTGAGCTTTGATGAGCCCAGCCTCACTCCGCCGCAAGGGGGCTCTCCTCCACGTGTTCCTTTTGCTTTGGGGTGCATCAGGTCTTTCCCAGAGGAGGGCATCACTCTGAGGCTGTGAAAACCAGAGGTGAAAAAGATCTGAAGACAAACATAATTAACGACCTTGGTGGGCACCGTGACATTCTGCCACTGTTTTCATTGGATGCTGTTCCAAGATTCAGCCTCAAGAGTCTTGGTTTGAAGGAGCTAAGGTTGTTTGTTCTCTGAGACATTTGACTTTTAGCTTTTCCAAGGAAATCCTCATCAAGTATTTGATGGGCCTTAACCAGAGGTTAGTGTTAGCAAGAGGTTAGACATTTTCTGAGTCCACGTAAAACACTGAGAGGTTTTGGGGTGGCATGACTCTAGAGGGTACACGCCAAGCTCTAAGCCATAAAAGACCAATTTGGGAGCTTGCAGTGTGGAGATTAGAGGTCCTTGTCCCAGAGCGATGAGCTGGCAAGCCACTCGCTTCAGCTTTGTTTCTTCTGAAACAATGATCTTGGTTACATCACAAAGGGAACATGCAGCTGGAATCAATTTTACTTTACAGCACGGGATGAGGGGAAGGGCACATTTTTTTTTTTTTTCTAAATCATCTTCAATCTGCTCCACATTCCTACCCCCACTGACTTCAGGGAAACCCAGTCTCAGTGAGATACCTCTGTACAGCCCAGCGGCGCATCCTGAGTGGGGACATCTTATGCAGCACAGAGCATTCTGGGGGATTCCCTGGTCCTTTCTCTATGTCTGTCACTGTTCACATAGTCACTAAAGGCTCCATAAGGGCAGGGCGTTTGATTTTTTTTTAATTTCTGTCTTGTGAGAACTCAGAACCAAGATAGGAGCACGAAAGTGCACAGTACAAAATTACCCAAGCCTTCCTGGTCTATCCTCTGAGGCCCCAGCTTTGGCCCGCAGGGTTGGCCCTGGGGTATGTGCCTAGCCAGCCTCATGGCTTGCTGTGAGCCTAGGTTTGGCAAGACAAAGAGCAAGAAGGGAACCGTCCTGTGGGATCCTGGAAACTGTGGCTGGGCCCTACAACATGGAGCCCCAAGGCTGGCATGTATCAGGTCTGAAATGGACCTTGGGAAGAAAGGGGTGGATTCCTGGCCTTAGGTGCAAACCCTAGCGGCCCAGCACGTGATTTTGCCATGTGTAATCCCACAGTGGCGCGTCTTGGACAGGAGTCCAGTGGCTCATTCATTGATACATTTATGTGGTTCAGTTGATTTCTTCTGAGTCTCACTTGGGCACTTCCTTCCATTCTTATCTCTGAGAGGCAGTACAGGAAAAGCACAAACTGCTACCAGACAGCTCGGGCTAAGGGTTGGGGTCTGCAGTTTGCTAGCAGGGTCGCCTTGGACAACTTACCTCTCTAAGGTTCCATTTCCACCTTTGTACAGTGGGGTCATTGTAATTTTGGCTACTAAGTGACAAAATGCATAAAAAATGCCCATTATTACAATTACTAATTAAATGTCCATCATTTTTCCTGACATATTTTAAGTTTCCGTAAGGAAACTTAATTTATTTTTAAGATTTTATTACCAGAAATAGATCTCGGAATGATATAGTTTTTTTAAAAAAAATAAGGAATCAAAAAATAAAATAAAGAATCAAAATCCTGTTCACAGCAAATATCAGTATGATGCCACCAGTCAGTCAGGAATAGACCAACTGTCCTCCGTCGTATAGGACAGAACTGAGGACATCACGCTGGACTAGGAGGACTCCTCCGATCTAGGAGGAGTCCTCGTCCTTTGGCCCTAGCAAAGATCACCCTTCATTTCTGAGTTTCTTTAGTCATTTAGGTGTGCTGTCCTCATGAGAGAGAAGCTTGGTTTTCTGGGACACACATGCGAGTTTTGCATGTCTGAAGACTGTCAGGAGCACTTGGGAACCAGCAGACTTTCAGCTTCCACCGGCCTTCTTCGCCTGGTAGAGACCACAAGCGGCTGCTGAGGCCATGCCCGCTGCCTGCGTAGTTGTTTCTGAAAACACGAAGCTCTGTGTTCAGGTCTTTTCTCCTGTCTGTGGCAACCTGAAGGCGTCTCTAGATCGTAACAGTTTTCCTTTTCCTGATTCAAGCAAGCAAAGCAAACCTTTAGTTTTCAGCTGCAGAATTTTGTAGATTCCACTGAACTCTGGAAAGAGCCAGAAGCTCACTGACCCAGAAGGAGAGGACTCAGCCTCCCTCTCAGCGAGGTCCCCATTGCCTGGTCAGCTCTTCTTGAGGAGAAGAACAAAGGCTCATTGCCCGAAGCCCAACCCAGACCGGTGGCCTTGCTCACAGGCTTCCCCAGCCAGAGCCTGCATGCTCTGTGCCCTGGTCTTCCCACAGGGCGTCTGTCAAGGTCAGACCCACCAGAGGCCCGAGGCTGGCTGTCACCCAGTTCCTACTTGGAAGCACCTTCCACGTTCACAGTCAGCCTGGGATATTTCCGAGTTCAGGGCTAACCTAGTTGGTTGTCATAGTAGATACACTCTAGACTTTGGACTCAGAAAGTTGTGAGTTTACAATTTGGAGTAGGTTGCCCTGAGTCTCGGTTTTTCATCTATAAAATGGGTCATCATGAAAAGTGCCCAGCGTGGTATCTGACTACAAAAGAAATTGGGCTAAAGGACTTTTTCTGTTAAACTACGTAAAACATCTGGAGGTAAAACTCCTAGTATTGGGTCAGGGCTCAGGGATATTAGGGTTGACTTCTTTCTGCTTCTCTTGAGATTTCCTTATTTAAGTCTTGATCCTAAAAAGGTTCCTGTGGTTCCAGACATCAAGTCTGTATCCAAATCAGGAAGAAAAAAGGAAGTGTGCTAACTCCATCCATTACTTTTGCCGGGAGAGCAGGAACTTTCCCCAAAAATTTGGATTAATTTCTACTTATTTCTCATTCCAGAACTATCTTGTAGCCATTCCTCGTTGGAAGAGAATCTAGAAGGCAAGCATGTAGCTTTCTAACTGCCATTTAGAAGGTGTTCCAGGGGGAAAGGAGTTTGGCAGTGAATTGGCTCCTTGAAAATTTCAACCATAATGCCTTTCCTTTAATCCCACGATGCCTTTCCTGTTACCCTACAATCCCTTTCCTTTAATCCCACAATGCTTTTCCTGTATTCCCACAACCCCTTTCCTTTGAGTATGAGGAATTATCCTCTTACATTTCTTTTATTGGGTATTTTTCCCTTGGAATCATTTTATCTTAACCTCTCTCTCCTCATAATGGTTTAATCCTTTTTGAAAACGATTAACATTGAAGGGATGAAGTTCTCTTAGGTTTTTGTTGAGTCCTAGTTGAAATACAAAAGAGAAATAAAGGAAAGTAGCTATAGTAAAATAATATGTACATCAGCAATATGTATTCCAGTAGAAGTAATAAAAATATTATTTATGTACTGTGGGCCACCAAGTGCCCATGGTAGCTGTGAATGCTGGGGCCTGGTGTGGGCGATCGAGTACCCCAAGTGGCTTTATTGGAGTGATTTTCTGAACTTGCAAACAATTACTGAGTTTAACTTTTGATTAAGAAAAAGGTCTTGACTCCAGGTCACCAGAGCTGCCTCAGTCTCCACTGTGGAGCCGAGTTCCTGGGAGATTGAGGCAGCCCGTTGCGAACCGAAAATCTCAAAGCCAATCAATGTCTGGGTTACCACCATGAATTTGGAGCTGGACTTCGCCATCCAGCCCAGTACCACCAGAAAGCAGCTTTCATCAGGTGGTTCCGGCTATTGGCCTCTGAGAGTGTGGTAATTTGGCCTCCAATACATGGACAATAAAGGACTTCCTACCTGCTTGAAACTTGACTAAAAGAGTGTCTGCCCAGGAGGTCAGGAAAGAGAACGCCCTCCAGTTCAAGTTCCGGGCCAAGTTCTACCCTGAAGACATGTCTGAGGACTCATCCAAGACCTCATGCAGAAGCTGTTCTCCTCCAGGTGAAGGAGGGCATTCTTAGGGATGAGATCTACTGTTCCCCCCAGACAGCTGTGCTCCTGGAGTCCTACGCTGTGCAGGCCATGTTCAGAGACTGCAACAAGGAGGTGCACAAGGCTGGGCACCGCAGCTCTGAGAGGCTGATCCCACAGAGAGTCGTGGACCAGCACAAACTCACAAGGGATCAGTGGGAGGATCGGATCCAGTTGTGGCCCGCAGAACACCGTGGGATGCTCACAGATAGTGCTATGCTGGTGCACCTGAAGATTGCTCAGGGCCTGGAGATGTATGGAATCAATTATTTCAAGATCAAAAATGAGAAAGGAACAGACCTTTGGCTTGGAGTTGATGCCTTGGACTAAATATTTAGGAGAAAGATGGTAAGTTGACCCCCAAGATTGGCTTTCCTTGGAGTGAAATCAGAAACATCTCTTTCAATGACAAAAAGATTGTCATTAAATCTGTCGACAAGAAAGCACCTGACCTTGTGTTCTATGCCCCATGCCTGAGGATTATCAAGAGGATCCTGCAGCTGTGCACGGGGAACCATGAGCTGTACATGCGCCGCAGGAAGCCCGACAACATTGAGGTGCAGCGGGCGAAGGCCCGGGCTCGGGAGAAGCATCAGAGCGACTGGAGCAGCAGCAGCTGGAGACAGAGAGGGAGAGAGACCGTTGAGAGGGAGAAGGAGCAGATGCTGACGGAGAAGGAGGAGCTGGTGCTGCGGCTGCAGGACTATGAGGAGACCAAGAAGGCCGAGAAAGAACTCTCCAGCCAGATCCAGGGAGCCCTCCAGCTGGAGGATGAGAGGAAGCGAGCCCAGGAGGAGGCCCAGCGCCTGGAGGCCGACCACGTGGCTGCACTGTGGCCAAGGAGGAGCTGGAGAGACAGGGAGTGGATCAGATAAAGAGCTGCAGAGCTTGCAGAGTACACTGCCAAGACTGGCCTGCTGGAGGAGGCGTGGCAGCGCAAGGAGGACGAGGTGGAGAAG